TTGTAAAGATGTTTTCTTTCTTTTGTTCAAAAAGTGAACCCAAACAATAAACGTGTGTAATGTAAAGGGAGTAAAATCTTTAATCCTCCACTAAGCCTCTTAACACCACTGTTAGCTGTAACTCAGATTTATGGTGCAAAAGTACAAAATCTGTCCGACTAAAAGCTTTCCTCTCTCTGCAGAGAGTTAGAGACGTCCACACAATCTCACAGCGCTGTGAAACGTGTCTGATTGTTTAGCGGGGTAAACAACACTTTGAATGCTGTTTATGTCATCAGTGTCGGGGTTAATCCCACATGTGAAAGTGCTCTAATAATCTGAGATAATCAATGAGGTCTGCTGAGTTAACAGACGGAGAGAGAAGCTCCCAGAGAGCCTCCGATTAGATCCGACGCTCGCACGAGAGCCAGAGTTTAATCAGAGTGAATTAGACACACAAGAGGAAAACACTGAGTTTATTCTTCCTGCTTCAAACTGCTGCCTGGAGACCGACACGCTCAGACACACAAAGAACACACTGAAACACTAATGCACACACACACACTTAGTCAAAGACATGCAGCCCAACTTCACTCAGAGATGAGCAGAATAACAAAGACGTACACATAAAAACTGTCTGTCCGAGAGGGGTTTTTTTTAGACAAGAGTTTAGCCTAGCTTAGCATAAGGCTGCAAGAAGAGGAAACCTGCAGACTGCATGGGGTTGTCAGGATGACAGATTTGTAAACTTTTGTTTATTCTAGTAAAAATCAGACGATATCGATACCAAGGCAAGAAAATATAGAAGTACTAGACGCCCTTCTTTTTTTTAATTGTCAAAGATTATAGGCAAACTTATCCCCGTCTTAATTACACAAATAAGTTGGCAACCTTTCCGTACATAATCCTGAGGGAAATGTTTTCTATGCTCATGAAATGTAAGGAGTCAGCCGGAGTAATGATTATCAGTGTGATCAGGATGCTAACCGATCAGAGCGTCTGAGTGCTGCCGTAGATGTAGATCAGTTAGAAGTTATTGATTAGCTGAATGTTTCCTGTGGAGGATGTTGTAAATGCTGCTTTAAAGGTCCGTCCGTCTGTCTGTCGGTCCTCTCTCTGCTGGAGTCTCAGCTCCTCGTTTTGGCATTAAAGGGGGGGTGGGGGGTTGGTGAAGCGGCCATTGTTGTCAGCCTGTGTGAGTCCACGGACTCCTCGGTGAAGACTTTTTTGTTTTCTGTTTGAAAAGGAGGGAGCTGCTGTGAGCGCTGAACACAGGGCCGCTGCTCATCGCTCCACGTTTACTCTAATTAAAGACAGAGGAGGGACGGAGACCTGCTGCATCTTTTCTTTAACCTGCTTCCTGTTTTCATTCATTAGTCCCGTGGGCGTGCTGAGAGGGAGTGTGTTTAGTCAAGACAGTGAAAAGTGTAGCATCAACAAAGTTTAGTCTGGTTCTGCTCCAGGTTTCTGCCTGTTCCTCATGAGTCTGTCTTCAGGAGAAACATGTTCTGACATAAAGGAAATAAAATAAATATAGAAACTGCAAATTAAAGTCTTAATATGTGATTTTTCACACTTAAATGTAGAAATCAAGTATCTCCTCTGAAAATAACTCTGTGAGTCATGACTGTCTACAATGGGTGTAACACCCGAGTCCCACTGTCTGTGATGTTTTCAGAGTTTTCAGAGTCCTATCTTCACTTTGTTTACATCGCCAGGACGGCCGGCTGACTCCTCCCCTCGTGTATAAAAGTTGTTTAATTGAGGGACTAGAGAAAAGAAGAATAACATACTGTACTCACTGCTTAACTGTGTTTCTAGATCACGCTCATTTCAGGTAAATTTACATGCAGTGTGAAGATACCAGCAGAATAAAGATCGCTAGCATTAGCATGCTAACACAACAATGCAGCGCAAGCTGTTTTGGTTTCATGCTGGAGCTCAAGGGTGAAAAAATATAAAGCCCTTAAAGCTCCTACACACTCTTGAATTTTTATTTATCGCTCCTCAAACTATATCATGAAGACTGGTACATCACATTTGTTCCTCACATCCTTGTTTTTAGACTCCCATGTGAATTCAGACGCCGTTTAATTACTTTGAACTGTTTCTAGGTCGTCGTGTGAATATCTGAAGGTTTGATTTGAATCCTCGGAGCTCATCAGTCAGTTTGTTTTAGCGTCACGTTGGTCTGATGTTCTGCTCTGAATGTGTTGTGACAGCTCCGATGTAAAGCCTGTTATCTCGCAGCTTCAGCTTCTGGCAGTTTTTTTTTCTGTAAACTGTCTTTTTTTTTTTTCCTGATCTCCGGGGTTCAGAAACCGGGAAGAAGCGCCGAGCGGCCTGATCCTGATCTGCTTTCACACGCTGGATTTGTTTTTTTTTCCCCTCTCCTCCTCCTCTCTGTTGTCCTGCAGTACATGAAGTGTTTGGTCACTGATGCATTTCTGCTTAATGGCCTGTTTGGGCTCATTATCCCGGCTGGCAGACACAGAAAGGACTGAAGGTCTCCAACATGGCACAACACCAGAGCTGGCTCCGTTAGCATCGTTAGCCGTGAGGCTCTCTGGCTGCGGATGAAACGAGGAGCTCAGCTACATTCTGAAATCTGTTTTTTAAAGGTTTACAAAGACTTTAATCTCATACACATCACTAGAATTTATTCATGGCCGTTATCACACAAACTACATCCTCTAGCAGCCATCTTTGATTTCGACCTTTATTTTTAATGCACTGCTGCTTGAATTAGCATTTTATAAAAACTCACCTCCGACGATGAGTTCAATATGTTCAACAAGCAGAGCAAGGTAATTGTTAAATAGAGATTAGCTCCTTTAGTTAGCATTGAAAGGGTTCCAACCCTCACCTGTGGTCATCAGCTGTTTGGTTAGTGACGGAAAGAATAAGATCGCGGATACAAGCGATACCCTCCAGAGGAAACTTTTCCTCTGGAGGGAGTCTGGACTCGGCCGTAGAGAGAGGGGGAGGAGCTTAGACATTCAGGGAGGAGGTCGGAGTAAAGCCGCTAGGACCAGTCGAGGTGGCTCGGTCATCTGATTAGGACGCCTCCTGGATGCCTCCCTTTAGAGGTGTAACGGGAACGCCCAACTGGGAGGAGACCCCGGGGTAGAGCCAGGGATTATATATCCCGTCTGGCCTGGGAACGCCTCAGGAGGATCTGGAAAACGTTGCTGGGGAGAGGGAAGTCTGGGTTGACTTGCCATCCTGACCCGACCTCAGATACGCGGAAGAAAACGGATGGATGGATGAAAGGGGGAAGACTTAGGGATCCAGAAACCCCTTCCAAACTTTGAGAATTTAGAGGTATTTCCACACTGGACCATCATGCAGGACTCAAAATGGGGTCTCAGGTTTTTGTTTGTGATGTACAATTTGAAAACCTTCATGTTAAGCTGAATAATTACAAAATGTGTATTTGAACAAAAGGAGCAGATTCAGATGTGATCTCCTGCTTCAAAACACGGCTCAGAATGAAGTTTTTCATCTTATTCCAACTGAAAAAAACAAACACTTTTCCTCATGAAAAATGCTGAAAACCTGCGATAGAAAACATTAAGGCATGTCGATCCTGTAACTCGTTTCTCTCTCTCTGGTTTGAGCTGAAGTGACGGAGGAGAGGAGGATCATATCCTGATACAAATCTTCACTGTGATGATATAAAAAAAAGAGGAAATTGAAAACTCAAAGCATCAGATAAACCTGAACACATCACGGTGTCGCATTCTGAGCGAGCGGCACTGCTTTCAGTCCGTCTGTCAGCGTTTCCTTCAGATGTCAGAGAAGACGGATGAAGAATGATTTCTTTAGGCTAGAATGTGATGACATCAGGGGGAATGGTGGCCTAGTGTTTAGTGCGTGCCCCCAAACGTACAGAAGATGCAGCCCGGGTTCGAATCCGACCTGTGGATCCTTCCCACAATTTCTGCCTCTATCCACACTCCTTTCTCTCAAACAAAAGCCCCAAAACAAACTTAACATAAATGCTGATGAGATTTGATACTTTCCAAAACCGTAATGTGAAGAAAGACAAAACGTCAAGCTAACGTAACGTGAGATTATCAAGTTTAACTTTGGGAGATTTGAACAGCGGCTCAGCAATCACAGAACATTTTCTTAACAGACTAAAACACAAATTGTTTTGAACTTGTGGGACCAGCGGGCAATGAAATATAAACGTGCGATTACAAAAAACCTAGAGTAAGCTAACGTTACGTTAGCTAGTACAGGTTCAGGTGTGATGTCATCAGCGTGCACGAGTTTCTCTGCAATTTTCGATAATCGAAAACAATGAATTACCCAAAATTGGGTGTCTGGGACTTTTACTTCTGCTGCTCTGGTATCAACGATGTTTGATATTTAGCAAACCAGAATCATTACACATTATATTTCTGGTTTTCAGATTAAATCAAAGTCAGTCACATGGTCACGTGACGTCATAAGAAGTAGATTTTAACACAAAGCTACATGACAGTAAGCAGAGCCTGAGAGCTGGAGCTCCATCACACCTGGACAGGTAAGACTCAGGAGCAGCTGTGGATGAAACACCCTGTTGTTCTCCAGACAGAGGACGTGTGTGTGTGTGTGTGTGTGTGTGTGTGTGTGTGTGTGTGTGTGTGTGTGTGTGTGTGTGTGTGTGTGTGTGTGTGTGTGTGTGTGTGTGTGTGTGAGATCCTCAGTGATGCTGACAGACATGCAGGGACTCTCTGAGGCTGCAGCCGACTGACCCACTTTCCGCGGGGCCGCAGGAGCTTCTGGCTGCCGCACAAACCCGACCTGCGGTGCCACAACGCGTCCATCTCCCGGTCCACCAGCCCACTGTAACAGCCGGCACTCACCCACACACACATGAATCAGCCCGCACACCACTCCAGCATCAACCTCCATCCATGTTTTGAGCTGTTTCACCAAACAAAGCCTCCCTGCTGCTTCACTGCATCCAGACAGGCGGCAGCAGCAGCGGCTCGCACGCTCAGTGTTTAGCCGAATAAAGGCGTCCTTACCTGGGTGAAGCAGAGCAGACACGCGGTGGCGATCAGCGCTGGAAGCATGGTGTCTTTAAGTCAAACAGTCTGGGTACAGTCCGGGTTTCCCCTCTCGGTCTGCTGCGCATCCAAACAATGGCGATTTTTCTGCTGCATCGGAGCGCGATGCTCCGCTGCGCGTACAGATTCAGTCTGCGGTTTGTTTCCGCTCCGCAGCTCTAACTCAACACCGCCATCATCATCATCTTCATCTTCATCAGCGTAATCACGGTTAGTATCCTGTCGTTCAGCACGCAGCACAGCTCGAACCGGACCCGCGGT